CGTCCATTATCTCACTCAACCTGAAATCTGAAACTCAAAATGTCCTTAACCACTGTTTAGAAACTCTCATGGCTAACATGTCATCAAACACACTTGGAAAATACTTCACCTAGCTCACCAAGGCCTCGGCATTCTATGCATCTGTGCCTAGGTTCAAAAAAGAGGCATGAGAAAGACATAATGTATATACCTTTAGAAGTTCCCATGAATTCACGGTATGATGCTTGATGTGAGAACCCTCAAATTGGAGTTCTTTTTATTTTACCTGTTGTTACTGAACTGTGGGCTCAGTATTCCTATTTGATACATTGTGAAATCCAGAAACTGAATAAGCTTCTAGATATACATGACATAAAATAAATAGTCATACTTCTAAGAATTAATCTTAATTTGAATCGTCATGGACTGTGTATGTGGTATTCTTCAGCATCTTCTATCAAGACATTCTATTGCAGCTTTATTTAATATAGATAGTGTTTCTCTTTTTAAAGAGTAGTTGCTTTTGTCTGGAGTTCCATGATGGTACAAGTAATTAATTCACTCAGCTGCCAACCTAAAAGATGGATATTCAAATCTACTGAGAGGTGCCATGGAAGAAAGGTCTGGCAATCTACTTATGAAAAAATGAGCAACTGAAAATCCAGTGGAGCACAGTTCTACTCTGACACACATGGGATCACCATGAGTCAGAATCAACTCTGTGGAAGTTGGTTTAGCCTTTGCCTGTGAGTTAAAAAATTACATATCCCCTGTGTTTTCCTTTATATTGTGGTTACAGGAATTTTAGAGCTAAATTAAAGGCTCCTTCTGAGAAAACATGTCAACCTGTGTAATTATCATGATTTGCCACATTCTCCTTCTCATGATCTTTTATTTTCTCTATTTTATCAGCCTTATTGAATACCTACCTTTTATTAGGGAGCTCTGGTGGTGTAGTGCCTAAGGCATTTGACTGCTAACTAGATGGCTGGCGGGTCAAACCCACCAGCCACTCCTCAGAAGGAAGATTGGGCAATCTACTTCCATAGTGACACTGCCTCAGAAACCTAAGGAGGGGTCGCTATGAGTCAGATCCAACTCGACGACAGTGAGTTTTTGAGATCTTTTATTAAGTTACCTCATATCCATAAGGAAGTAAGTCATAAGCTTAATTTTTTTTTTTAAAGTAACCTTGGTCCATGAATAACGGTCAAATAATTCTACATCCCAAATATCAATACACACATAAAATGAACTCATCAGTCCAGGAAAAAAGGAGAAAATTATGGATATAAAAGTTTGTTTTTTTTAAATTTAATTTAATACAGTGATTTGGATTATATAAACTACTTATATGACCATTTGGATGCTGACCATGTACAAGGGTGATGTATTATAGGAATAGTTTGTAATACTCAGAATTTTACAGAGACCTAAATTATAGTAACATGATTGTTTAAATAAGCATAACTAGAAATATCTTTAAAACTAGTGCTTAAAATGTGAAAGGCCATCAAAAATGGTTCAGTGGGTCTATTCAAATTATAGTATAATTATCTTATCTGATATATATGCTTTCTTCCCCTATCTTTTGCTAATTTACATTACTAATCCAGCTGTAATTGGACTTGAACTTTTCAGTTTCAATGAAGCTTCCCATGAGAAAACTGATTACACTGGGGGAAAAAAAAATGTTCATGAAACAGTATGTAAAAACTAACCACTATTTATTTTCCATATAATTATCTTCCCTTTCAGCCTAGGATGTAGTCTTGGCTTTTAGGTAACTCAAATCTATACGGGATTGTCATTTGATTTACAACCGATGACCTGGCATCATATGAAAATAATTTACTGTGCCATGTGTCTCATGACCTGTAAATAATAGCTTGACTACAGAGACATCTCAATTAGACTGTGCAAGAATGGCAAGATCTGCCTTTTCCTTGCCCACATCATTAAAATGGAAAGTATCATGAAGCAGTGCTTGTTTTAAAGTTACTTCAGTTAGAGAGATGTATTATTTAAGGTTGGGAGCCATAAAATGTGAATTGCCATCAAACTAAATGAAATATCATGCATAAGGTTGTACAAATAATAGCCTGCAAGGGGTGGGATGTGCATTTGTTAGCGTATTGATTGGTGCATTTCCACAGCATCTGTGTATGATTATGGGCTCAGGTGTTCTGACAGGGTGATCAATTATGACACTGAACACAGAACAGTAATCCATTCTTTCTGCTCTGTTCCTCCAAGAAGCCCCTAAACCAAAATCACAAGCATTCATGGTATAAGCCCAAATGAGGTAAATAATCTAGAAGTGAAACTTTGGCCTCTTCCTCCAACACATCTAAAAAGGAAGCTATTACTATAAAAGTCTCTTTTGAGGAAGTTACATTATTTATCACCAATCATATGTTGTTGGTTTTGATAGTTGCCCTTGAGTTGGCCCTGACTCATGGTGGTCTCCCATGCACGGTGGTAATGATTGTCAGTCCTTTCTTCCTACTCCATCTTGGTCTGAAAGCTCCTTTGAAACTTATTAAGCATCACAGCAACACACAAGCCTCCACAGCAGATGGGTAGTGGTTGTGCATAAATTGCATTGGCCGGAATCAAATTCAGGTCTCCTGCAAGGAAGACAAGAATTCTAGCACTGAACCACCAATATCCCCAATCATGTTGTTGTTGTTATCTGCCATTGAGTCGGACTGGACTCATAGCAACCCCTCATTGGGTTTCTGAGGCAGTATCACTACAGAAGTACATGGCCCAACCTTTCTTCTGAGGAGTGGCTGGTGGGTTTGAACCGCCAGCCTTCTGGTTAGCAGTCAAGTGCCTTACACAACACGCTACCAGAGCTTGCAGCTCATTAAGATTTTAAGGGTACATTTCAAACTGTAGGATAATGTTATGAGAGAGAAGTAAAACAAAAGTTATTTTCCTAGTTTAGCAAATGGTGAAGGTAAAGTGTAGAAGTGAAAGCAGAATGGCCCTCACAGGATGCCTGTATCTGGTCCCAGGTCTGTAATTGGACAAGTTTGTGTTTTTTTTTCCCCACTGAATTGAATGGATTTTAATATAATAAGTTGAGCCTCCACCTGGCCCCATATTAACTATAATTGGAAGCTGAAAGATTTAGACTGTGCCGGAATTAAATCTAGAAAGAGCTGCTTTTTCAGAATTCTCCTTTCAAATTCTAGTTATCTTTTTAAAGGACAGGAACTCACTAATTTTTTTTTTAACTACTTCTAAATGTTTCCTTTAAACAGTGAGTAAGATATCACAGGTCATCAAAATCCTATTTTAAAGTAGAGAGAGATGTTGAATTTACTTACATAGTAAGCTCTAAGTGAATTCAACATATATATATAATATATATATTTGAATTCAACATCTCTGTCTACTTTAAAATAGGATTTTGATGACCTGTGATATCTTATCTACCTCCCTGCCTTCTCCAAAGGTATTCCAACAAGCCACAAAGCCATTGACACTCACTGGAATACCCTACGGGAAGCCATCACGGAAGAAAAGACAACTAGTTTCAGTTATGCCCAGGCAAGGTCAAGGGCAAATGGAAAGTTTCGGAAAATTGGCCCAAAGGCAATAGGATAGTGTGATAGTTAAAGCTATGTATCAACTTGGCTGGGCCATCACTTTGGGTTGCTGGGCAGCTGGATATAGTTATTTCCCAGGATGAGATTATAATCATCTTAATGGTAGAATCTGCTGTGAGCTGCTAAGTAGCTGTCCTCAGAGAGTGGCCTACTTCCAGTATATAAGGAAAAGCTTTGAAAAAGGTCCCTAGCCACAGTGTAGTAAATTACCCAGTATGGCTTTTCTAGCCATAGTCTTTGTAACTCCCAATTTGACATGAGCAACTGAGTACCTGATTATTAAAGTTATCCACCTGGGATATTTCTGTTGAAGCAGCACAAAGTAATCTTCTGGGAAGTGTACTCTCTCTCAGGTGTGTAGAACTCTGATATTGGATTGGTTGGTTTTGTCCACCTTGCCAGGCTCAAAAGGAGCCCTCCTCGAGGCAGGAGAAATCTCTCTGACTGCCGGCTAAGAGAGATGTACTGCTGAGAAAGACGTGTTTGCTGAGAGAGAGAGAGAGAGCCATGAGAGAGACACACTGCTGAGAAGGAAACACAAGAGAGATGTACTGCTGAAAGAGAGACATGCTACTGAGAGAGACAGAGAGACGGCCGGCTGAGAGAGACTGAGCACATTCCTGAACTTGAATTGTAGCCAGTTGCTTCCCTAATAAACCCCATAATCTGTGAGTTCTGGGTGGTCACTACAGTGAATAATTGAACCCAGCAGAGAGGTGGTAGATGCCATGGGAAGAACTGTTGGTGACAAGGTTAGTAAGAGGGCTAGAGGGTGGTGGCATGTGTGGCCTCCTAAGAACAGGCCTTGGACTGCTGATGGTAATTCTGTCTTCCTCTTGTGGAGGTAGAGATCAGAAGATGCCATCTCCTTTTCCCTTTAGCACTAGCTTTCAGCACATCTGGATCCTGCATGTAGCCAAGTCTTCATCTCAATGTCCTGCCATGTTGACTGCCGATCCTGCCTGTTGTCTGCTAATCTTGGAACTGTGCCATTTTACCTGTCAATCTTGGGTTCATCAGCCTCAGCAGCCAGCACCTGCCTGAGTCAGAAAAAGCCTCTAGCTCTAGTTGGCCTGGTACAGTAGTAGGCAGAGCAGAACCCCAAGGTAGAAAAGCCTTCACTCAGCCCCTTGAGTCAGCACTTTGAACTCAGATTTCTAGCATCCTAGACTGAAAGAGGATAAATCCCTGTTTGTTAAAGTTATTCGCTTGTGATTTTTCTGTTACACTAGGACTAGAGAACCAAAACAGATGGCCTGACCAAAAAAGAAGGTCAAAACTGTTGGGAAATTACTCATTGAGTGCAACAGAATCACACAAAATGGAAATTCAGTCAAAGGTGTTACTGGTGCAGGGAAGGATGCACCTCATGAAGCAATATGCTCATTTCATGAACAATACCTGGAAAACTGCTGCTGCAAACCACGCATCTGAATTCTGTTGCGCTCAGACTCCAGGGTCACCTCCTGCAACCGCTGTTCACTTTGAAGACGTAAGTGTCTTTCTTCTTCCAATTCATGTATCAGCTTCTCATGCTATAAAAGGTACAGAGAGATGAACTTAAGATATTTCTTAAATATTATGACAAAAATAAATAGTCATAGTTGTTGGTTATTAAGTGCTAACTTGAGTTTTACATATTAATTCATTTCATCTTCATAAAAATCCCATGAGGTAAGTTCTATTTTTAATTTCTCATTATAGACAAAGAAGGCCTCTGGGTAGTATGAACAGTTTGCACTCAGCTACCAATCTAAAGATTGGCAGTTTGAATCCACCCAGCAGTGCCACAGAAGAAAGGCCTGGTAATCTTCTTCCAAAAAATTATAGCCAAGAAAACCCTATGGAGAGGTTCTACTCTGTAACACATGGGGTTACCATAAGTCAGAACAGACTGCAGAAATGGGTTTGGTTTCTGTATTTTTATAGACAAGGAAAACAAGGATAAGGGGTATTTAAGTAATTTGTGCAAGATCATGTAAACCAGAAGGGAAGATTCTGAATGCCAGTTGATTAGTTTTCAGAACTTAAACAATTTCTCCTAAACTAGATGGGTTCCTGTAAGAGCGATGGCCCAATAATAGTATTAATAATGCACAGCATTTCAACTAAGAACTAATAAGGTCATTATGACCTGTTCAGAATTATCTCATCTCTTTAACCCCTGGTATATGCTTTAAAGGAAGTGTTAGTGTTGTTACAGAAGAGTAGGGAATTTTAAGTTAATTAGACCATGGAGCTGATGAGAACAAGGTTAAAGAATTTTTATTTGGTGAGTTAGGTTTTCACAGACAAAAAGAGGTTAAACTTGCCACTGTATTTATAATCCCAGGAACTCGCTCATCTCACAAATGGGCAATAGGGATTAAAAGTGGTACTGGATGACCCAGAATAGATGGTTCAGCATGAACTAATTCCTGGAAAAGGTAAAAGTAAACAGTTCAGACCATCCTGATAATACTGATATAGCTGTGCAGAAATCTTTGTTTTTATTATTGTTATTGCTTTTCTTTCTTGTTAAAGCATGACATGTTGCTGTGGGTATTGCTGTTATTAAATT